GTGTGAGTGTGTGTGTGTGGGTGTGCTTGCGTGAGTGTGTGTGTGTGTGCGTGTGTGCGTGTGTGCTTCAGCTTCCCGCAGCGTTTGAAAGGTGAGGCGCTTGTACGGGGATCTAGCTCCTGGGCCGACCAGACGACCTGGCATCCCTGCCGGGACGCTTCGGTGGGCAGCCTTCGCGCTTCTCCCGTGCACGCAGAACGCTGATCCACCGCCGCACTGCCGCGAGCACCGTGCCAAAACTCACGCGCTGTGGCCCTGGGCGTCGCCCGTCCGGCGGGCGGGGGGGGGTCGGCACTCTCGGCGTCGGCTGTCGCTCGACGCCCTGCTGCTTCTGCCCGAGGTGCTCGATCCGACCGAGGGCTCGAGGAAGACTCCCGGGGCCGGGGGCTCCACCTCCGAGCCGATTGCGGCCGGACCGAGGTATGCGATCGAGGTCGGCTCGGGGAGGGTACTTGCCCTCATGCTTGCCGTGCTTGCTGGCTGTGCTTGTGCCTCCTGGGGCAGGGTACCCTCGAAGGTTCTCCAGCTGGGCAGGCGGAGGGCCTCGCGTTCTTCTAGGAGGCCATTCTGTCCTTGGCCTGGCCGTATCGGGACCGAGCGGGGGAGCCGCCGTTGCCTTCGTTGGCCCCCCTCCGATCGACGCGGCCCTGCGGAGTGGCCAGGGGCCACGGCGGGCGCGGCAGCGGCACCCAGAGCACCGCTGCTCGAGCGCGCCCTTGTCCAGCGCCGCGCCGCGCGGCTGGAGGGCGGGAGGGGGAGGGCCGCGGGACTGCGGGAGCGCCCTCGGGACGTGAAGATCCCTGGGAGGCGACGGAGACGGGCTCAAGTGCTCGACGCTGTCAGAGCGGGCGCAGGCGCAGACAGCAGGCACGTGCGACCAGAAAGCTTGCTATGAGAAGTCTTGATGCACGTGGCGCGTGGGTCTTGGAGGGTGCTGAAGTGCCCCAGAGCCTCTGTGGGCCGTGGGGCACCTGCGGGCAGGCCAGTTTCTTGTTTGACGTGCCTAATTACTCTTACCGCGGCGCCGCCCCTGGCGCGCTCCGCGCACCAGGGAGGTTGGGGGCCAGCGCCGGTCCAAGAGATGCGCACGGACCTCCGAGAGTTTATGCTTGTGGCTGTGGTTCCTCCTCAGTAGTCGAGGAGCAGGGAGCTAGAGGCGAGGGTCGCAAGTCGGTCCCCGGCCTATCCCGGGGTGCGTTGGGACCAGAATGTTCAGCCGCGGCGACGACGGACGCCCAGGGGATCGAACCTCGATCCTCGAGGGGAGGAGAGCGAGAGGCGGAGCGAAGAGGGCGAGAGGCCCCAGGCATCCCACGCCGTGGCTTTTGTTTAGCGGCGTGGCTCCTCAGAGGTCTGGGCCCATCCCCAGGGACTGAACTTTTTTCCCTGGCCGCGTCTTTTCGGCGACGACCCCAGAAGGCCAAAATCTTCAACAACTTGCCGTCTTCACTGACTCCTTGGGGCGAGGGGGTCGGCTTTCGGGCCGTAGCTCGGGCTTCCGGCGGCCGCTCGGTACCATCCAGGCACCCCAGAACGCCCTCGGGGATGCGCAGATGCTGGCAGGCAGCCGCGAGACGAGCGAGCTTCCGAGAACCGGCGAAGAGAACCGAACATCAGCCGTCCTGATTTTTCGCGGCGCGATGTGGTGGAGTGCACGCTGGCAGCCGTCGGCGCTCGCCCTGGGGGCCTCGAGACAACCACGCCTCGGGCGCGACACTTCTCCAAGAGGGTGGCCCTGAGACGAGGGGTCCTGAGGGGAGGCGGCCCTTCGACCAAAAAACAAATGACACCATCCCACCTACGGCATTCCATGTTGCGCTACGGCCCATCGGGCTCCGCAGCGCATACCACGCAAAAGCCCACGCCAGGTCTCCTGGTAGGCGCTAAGCCCCGGGAGGCCGCAGGTGGGGTGGTGTCGTTTGTTTTCTGGTCCAGCCCTGAACGGTGAAAGCTCGACCTGTACGCCCTTTCCTATCCTCAGGGCCCCGTTCCTCAGGGCAGGCGTGAGCGAATCGGAATCGGATGGCCGCGCGGGGCCCCCTCTGGCCCTGGCCGATGCTTGGGAGCTGGACCTGGAGGGTTCTTCCGAAGGGCTTAGGCCACCCGTCGTCATCGTCCTCCTCCTACTCCTCCTCCCTCCTCCTCCTCCCTCCTGCTCCTCCTCCTCCTCCTCCTCCCTCCTCCTCCTCCTCCTCCTCCTCCTCCTCCTCCTCCTTCTCCTCCCTCCTCCTTCTCCTCCTCCCTCCTCCTTCTCCTCCTCCCTCCTCCTCCCTCCTCATCCTCATCCTCCTCCTCCTCCTCCTCCTCCTCCTCCTCCTCCTCCTCCTCCTCCTCCTCCTCTTCCTCGGGTCGCCTAGGGGAAACCGCGCAGCCGGACCCAAGCGAATCGGATCGGAAGGCGGCCCCGGCCAGCAACGCGGGAGGCGCCTGCTCGAGAAAGGGCCCCCCCCGCGCCCGCGGCCGAGGAGCGCCACCTGCCGCAGCCGCTGGACTACCACGA